GTCTCTGAGGGGAACCAGTTATCCCTGTGTGAGAAACCCTGAGGGTGGAAGGTTGAGGTCATTGCACATGAAAGGGGACAACCCCTGTAACTTGTACAGGGGATTCCGGGTAAGAGCAATCCAACTGGACCACCCAAAACCTTGTGGAGGAAAATCTCTGAAGACTGTAGGGCCATCCCATTGGATCATGACTGGGGAGATCTTGAGGGGGGTGGGGACCCTTGGGTGAGGAAAATTGATTTCATTATGACATGAGTGAGGGAAAAATCATTGGGCTCTGATGGATAGGAATTCTAGGTGGGTGCCAATTGGATTAGACTGTGGGAAACAGATCACTGGTCAGGGAGAGGACAGAAGCAGGAAAGATTCTGCAGAGGCCAAGCCCTCTGACCTTTAGCACAGAACCAGGTGGGTGGAGGCTGGTGCATGGGAGGGAAAGATCCTGGTGGAGTAAGGGAGACTGGTTCTGGGAAAAACTGGCATCAAGGCCCTACAAGGCTGGTAGGTATCTGAATGCTGTTTGACATGGTTCATATTTACTTCCCCTCAATCCTTGAAAGGGGACGGAGCATATTTTGAGAGCTTTTGGGGCTGGGGACCCTTTTTTACTCAGTGAAATTGGTCAAGAGACTACCAGGCCTTCTCCCCTTGGGAAAGAGAAAGGAAAGCAAGCCCCTGCCCCTTGCTCTGGCCAAAAGGATAGATACACTCACTCCTGACAGAAAGACAGAACAGTGTTTAGTGTGTGACAAGGTCAGCCAGAAGGAGGAGGAGGAACTTTATCCTATGGGCATGGAGAGCCGTGGAACACACATAAGCAAGAGCCTGACTAGGTCAGTGCGTAGTGAATTGGAAGAGGAGAGATGGAAGCAGCAGGGAGATGGAGAGGTTCAGCTGGTTGTGATTATAAATAGAACTGGAGAAGGTGGGTAGGGGCTGAGAGTCTGGAAGCTCTTTTAGGATGCAGGATGCACAGGTCTTAAGGAGCAACTAAAGAGGCACAAGGAGGGCAGCAGGGTCTGTGGGGCTCATGGGATTGGTACCCTCATGGTGAAGTTAGGGGAACATTCTTGACCAAACCATTTCCCTTTTCTTCTTCCCTACTCAAGGCTCAGCTTCTGGAACTCCGAACAAATAACTACCAGCTTTCAGATGAGCTACGCAAGAATGGCGTCGGTGAGCCAGAGGGTCTCCTTAGAGGGGGGTGGGTTTGCGGGACAGAGGCTAAGGGAGGACACCTCAGAGGCCTGGTGGGAAGACCTTTCAGCAACTGGCCACTGACTGTGGCTGACACCCCCTGCTTTACCCACACCAGAACTCACCAGTCTTCGACAGAAGGTCGCCTACCTGGATAAGGAGTTCAACAAAGCTCAGAAGGTAGTTCCCTCCACCACTCACCCACCCTGGAGCCATCTGACTCATTCATCGCTCCAGTGAGCCCCTCCAAGAACCAAATCTAATGTTACATGCTGTCATTAGTCATGCACAAAATTCGCATGGAATCTCTCTAGTTTGCTAATTTCATCTAATCCTGCTTAATGTATCGATTAATTTTAATTTACTCTCAATTCACTTTTTATTTTAATTACTTGTTCTCATTCACAAACATTTACCTAAAGAGTCAAATCTAGTGGTAGATCTGCTTTGAATCTTCCTCCTCTCCTCCACTCTCCTGCCTTTTGCTCCTACTTTCCATCCTTGATCTGTTCCTGTTGGTAAAGTGACACTGAACCTACCTCTCCAGTCCTCTGAAGATGAGGTCACATCTAAGCTATTGTGGCCCCTCCAGGCATTCAAGGCCTTCTTTTGTCTCTTCACTGCTCTGTCTGCATGCATACCACATTGTTATCCATAATGTGTGCTCCAGAAATACACGGTAGATGAAGGAATACAGAATGTAGGAAGTCTGGCAGCCAGGGAGCTGTGCTTTTCTTTGTCCCCACCTGACAATGCCCTCAGCTGCTCAGCAGTGGAATAGCAGTTTCCCTGGTGCATGGCAGGGATCCACATAGACCTGTTTGGACAGGTGTAGCAATTCAGCCACAATGTCTAGACTTGGAGACCCAGCCCATGAAAGGTTAAGTACTATTATAAGAATCATGAACAGCCTCAAGAGCTCAGAGGAAAGGATGTAAGCAGGATGCCACTCACTGCATCATTCTTGTAGGCTACAAATTGTCATGCAAGCTACCATCCCCCAACCCCTGTTGACATTGTCCCCCCCTTGATACTTAACCCTCCCTGTTTACCCTTTCTCTCTCCCCCACTCCTCACCTATAGGCCCTGAGCAAGAGCAAGAAGGCTCAGGTAAGAGGACTCATGATGGGTGAATGTGTCTGGGAAACTGTCTTAGCAGGGATATTGTTATATGCTGGGAACTCCTACTACTGGCCTTTCTCTGTGGGACACTTGCATCTGTGACTGTCCATTTCACTGCCTTATGTTACTGTGTCTGTCTTTGTTTACCTGTCTTCATTCATCTTTCACCCTGTGCTTCTCTCTGTGGGTTTTCCTTCTCCCTTTCTTTTTATCCTTCTCTCTGTCTTCCTTTCCTCTCTCTCCAACTCTTGTTTCTCTCCCCAACCTTCTCTTTGTTTCTCCCCACCTGTACCTATCTCTGCTATCATTTCTCTTTTCTTTATCTCTCTTTATGACTCTTTGTTTCTCTCTCTCCCATTCCTCTCTCTTCCTCACTCATTTCTTTCCCTGACTCCCTCTGTCCTCTCTGTTCTGTTCTGTTCTCCTTCTCTTGGTCTGTCTGGTCTTATCTCTCTGTTTCCTACCTTTTTTTCCTTTCTATCTCTCCATCCCTCTCTTTTTCCCTATCCATCCCCTTTCCCCATCTCAACCTCCTCTCTCCCCTATTTCTATCTACCTCCCTTTCCTCCCACTCTTTTTGACTCATGTCCCTGTCTCCTCTTTTATACCTCCTGGCATTTCTATCTCCCTGTATCTCCTGATTTCGCCCATCTCATTCTCTGTACTCTATCTTCTCCCCACCCGTGTCATTTTCTTCCTCTCTATTCCTTTGCCCTACCTCCCCATCCTTTCTGCCTGTTGGAGACCTGGTCCATGTCTGCCACTACAGGAAGTCGAGGGGCTACTGAGCGAAAATGAAATGCTTCAAGCAAAGCTGCACAGCCAAGAGGAGGACTTCCGCTTGCAGAACAGCACGCTCATGGCTGAGTTCAGCAAGGTGCCTGGGATAGCCGAGGGGGGGTCTGCGGGGTTGGAGCCACCTGGACAGAAGCTGGAAGGCAGCTGAGGGCTGTTGAACAGGGGCTGGTCCCGGACCACTGTCCATGGTGCTGAAACAAGTCCTAACTTGTTGCTTGGGGGGCAGTGGTTTGACAGATGGGGCTACCTACTGGGCTGTGATTAGAAGATTCCAAGCCCTGGGGTCAGCTGGTTCCTGACAAGTCATTCCTTTTATCTGCGTTTCAATCTCCTTGTATATGTTTTGGGGCTGATGCTATGGAACTCCAGAATGTTGGTGGGTAAAGTTCACATTTAACGTAGGCTGGACAGATGTTCAAGCTACTTCCCTTTTTTCTTCCTGACACGAGCCTGGTGTTCTAGTTTTATAGAATTCATACTGGATGGGATAATTCTATCTCCTCAGTGTTTTTATTGTCCTGGCTATCTAAACTTACTAGGCAATGGGAGATATATTTTATTCTTTGTCTTTATTATGTATTCATGCTCAATGATTTTCTACATTTTAGTGTGTTTAAGGAAAAATGTATTATGACAACAAAATGTCATTTCCAAGGCTCCATGTAAGATTAGTGCTTAAGACCTTAAAATACAAATAAAACACACCAAACTGTAAGGAGGTACAATTCCAGGAGAGGTGATTTAGCAAGGAGTAGTTAAGATCCAAGAGGCCTAGATTAAACTCTTGGCTCTCCCTTTTACTACTTCAATCTTGAGCCCGACACTTGATCTGCCTGTTTCTTGGCTTCCAAATGTTTAACATGGAAATGATGATGAAGACAGTACCTACCGTGCATGGCGTTTGTGAGGATTGAACGGGCGAATGTCTGTAAACCACTTAGAACACAGCCTTGCACATTGAGGCAGAGGCAGGTGTTCCTCCATAATTCCCGCTCATGTTCCCCAGCATCTGCCCTGGGGGAGGCCCTGGACCAGGTAGAAAACCTCCTTCATACTTTTCCTCCTGGGAACTGGAAGTGCTCAGAGAGACACCTTTGTGCCAGGCTTGCCTCTCTTCACTTATTTGCCAAGATATTTCAGCTGAATTGTTCCTTCAACAAATCGTTATTTAGCATCTGCTGTGTGCTCTGTGTTATGGAAATAGCTGTGAGGGGCACAAAATGGTCCCCACTCTTGGGGAGCTTACATTCTGGGGGTAAGATGGGGAGAAAGATCATAACATAGTAAACAAATAATAGCAATACCGATAGCTGACAGCTATATAGTGTTTACTGTATACCAGGTCCTGTTTGATGTTTTTTACTAGTATCCCTGTTTAACAGATGAGGAGAACCGAGCCCCAGAGAGAGGAAGCAATGTGTCCTATGATCACACAGCTAATAAATATCAGAGTAGAAATTCACATTCAAGAAGTATGGTTTCAGGGTCTGTGCTTCTACCCTATATTACCAAAGAAAATGTAATTGTCCATTAAAATTTATGATCCAGAATTTTTCAGAGCTTTAAGGAATTAAAAACAGTGAAATTTAGGTGTGATCAGTGCAGATAAGAAAGAAAGGAACAGAGGACTGTGCTAGAGGGTATTGGAATTTCTGTGTTAGGGAATACCACTTGAAAGGTGACATTTGATCGGAGCACTGAAGGATACAAGCCAGTCCTGTAGAACTGGATTAAAGGAATAATGTGCTGGGTAGAAAGTATTCCAAGCAATGGAGCGTGCAGGAGGCAGCCAGTTAATGATTCTCTCGCATTATTGATGTTTCTAGCTCTCTCTCCCTTTTCCTTCCTCTCTGAAATAATAAAAATATATAAAAAGGAAGAAAGTATCCCAGGCAATGAAATAAAAATTCTCTGTGGGTCTCAGTATTCTCATCTGAAAATGGGACAAAGGATCTTGTCAGATCAGCTGTGAGAAATGTTAGTCAGGAGTTAAGGGGCGGGCTTAGTTTTATTTGCATTGCACACCTCTCCAAGGCCAAGGGCTGGTGATATGGGGCTATGGGCAGTGCTGGCCCCGGAAATGCCCTAAAAGCTGTCTGTGGTGCCTAGGCTCCCAGACACAGACCCTTCCACAGAAGAGGGATGGCGGTGGGGCTCTCCGTGATGCAGACATCTTGGACCAGCAACTTCCAGAGGAGCCTGAGGTCTTGGATGACGACTGTGAGGTTGGAGTGGACAAGCAGAATATTGTTCTCAGTATTCTCAACCTTCTGTGGCTGCCACTTAACAGATGTGTGCATTTGAAAGTCATTTAACATCTGTGCCTCAGTGTTCTTATCTGTGAAGTGGGGATAGTGAATGATGAGAGCAGTACATCACAGGAGTGTTATGGGAATTAAATGAATTGGGAAGTGCATGGGCCAAGTGCTTTGTATATTTCAGCACATATTCTGATTCTCTGCCTTTCCACCACCCCGCTCTTCCCCTGCTCAGCTCTGCAGCCAGATGGAACAGCTGGAGCTGGAAAACCAGCAGCTGAAGGATGAGGCTTCCAGGGCAGGGGCTGCCCAGGCCGGAAGCATTGTGGATGGGGAGCTGCTGAGACTGCAGGCGGAAAATACAGCCTTGCAGAAGAACGTGGCAGGTGTGTGGAAGCCCACCTGGGGATGTGTGTGACCCTGGGGCTTAAGTAGGGAGTTTTCCTCCTGGGAAAAGGTGGAAAGGCTTCAGAATCTAGCTTGGCCCTGCCATGAACCCCAGTGTATGACTTTGGACAAGCCATTTCACCTCTCTGAGCCAAAGCTTCGTCCTTTACAGTGTGTATAATGATGTCTGTCCCCTGGGCGACTGTAGCAGAGATAAGAGGTGGCACATTTCTGATTTTTCTGAGTTTAGTTCAGTGCCTGATACCTAGCAGATTTTACAGATTAGCAAATGGAGCGTCAGAAAGGAGATGCTTGCTAAACAGAGAAGGGGAATGAAGGAATGTTGGGAAGATCTAAGTCTAGATTGTCAGTGGGGTCTGAGATCAAAGCTGAGAGAAAACTTGATAGAATGTGGGAGGGTTCTGATGTGTGGATTTCTGGAGAGCAGCTGGGGGGTGTGGGGTAGTGAGTGGTAGTTTGGTGACCAGGAGGGAGACTATAGAATGTGACTGGGGATCAGGAGTTCATAGGAAAAATTCAGCTCTAAGTGGGCAGTGGAGGATTGTGGGCATGACCTTGGAGGGCTATGGGCAGGGCTTGGGTAACAAACTTGATCTAATTTGATGGTAGACAGGATTTCAGTAGTTGGTGGGGCTTAAAAGATTTGTGATTTGTGTGGTTGGGGCTGAACCTTGGTTTTGTAGGCTTGTGGTCTTTGGGGCAGGGTCTCTGCTGCCTGAGGGGTTAAAGCTCCATTCACCCTCTATTTGACACATATCAAGGGTCTTCGAAGATCACCTCATGCATCATATATCTCTGTTCTGCCCACTAGCTCTGCAGGAGCGCTATGGAAAAGAGGCTGGGAAGTCTACAGCTGCCAGTGAAGGCCAAGGGGACCATCCAGAGGGCCAAGCCCCTGCCATCTTGTCCCCCATGCCACTGGCAGAGGTGGAGCTAAAGTGGGAAATGGAGAAAGAGGAGAAGAAATTGCTCTGGGAGCAACTACAGGGCTTGGAGGTGAGTTTGGGTTGGTTAGGGTTGGGATGCCAGGTGGTGGGGCAGATGCCCCTGACCCCATAAAGATGGTTGTGACATCACAGTCTCATGGGCTGATAGATTAGGGAGGCAGGAGGGCAGGGGAAGGCACGCAGGAGGGTAGGGGGAGGCACAGGCCTAACCTCCCCCTTGCTTATACCAACCCCCTCCTTTTCCCTTCCTATAGAGCTCGAAGCAAGCCGAAACATCCAGGCTACAAGAAGAACTTGCTAAGGTAGGACTGCCAAGCTTTCCCTGGCCTTTGCCTTATCTCCTTTCCCATCTGCCATGCTTCCCCCATCAGGACAAAAGCTGGCTGAGTACTCTCTCAGAGCCTCAGTTTTGTTGTCTGTGAAATAGACTCAAGCTTAACTCTCAGAGTTGCTTTCAATATGGAGTGGGCTAAGTGGTCCCACTATGTCCTGTACATGGTGGGCCCCATTCCTTTATTATGTGTCCTCCCAGCTCTGCTTGGTCATCCATCTGTCCATCAATCTACCCATCCATCCATCCAAGAACTAATAGACTGCAGGCTCTTATCTTAGGAATTGGAGACCCAGTGTTGTATAAGGCAATCATGACCCTGCTTTTCAGGCCTTCCAGCCTAGCCATTCTACAATATAATGTAGCCATTGGTCAATATGTTGGGGATGTAAATGCTGGGAGATCATATTGTTGCTGCTGACCAGCTGGGCAACCAAATGACTGAATCCTTCTGGGACTCAGTTTCCATGAGATAGCATAAGTAAATTCAGCTTCCAAAAAGAACTTAGAAGTATCTGTAAATGTTAAGTGTGTTTTTGTCTTTACTAATATTACGGTTGTTAATACTTGTTTGTACCCTCTTCTCCACCCTAGCTCTCAGAAAAACTGAAAAAGAAACAAGAAAGGTAAATTTCTTTTTCCCAGAAGTCGGGGAAGGGATTTGGCGGGACTAGGGAGGACTGACTTATGGCACTGACTCACTTATGTCTGTCTGTATGTGTCTAGTTTTTGCCGTCTGCAGACAGAAAAGGAGACACTATTCAATGATAGCCGGTAACTACCAGGGTTGGTGGTATTGGTGGACAACAGGGACAGTGCCCACCAGAGTTAACCTAGGACTACAAAGGGCAGAGCTGAGAGATTGGGCCTTAGATCATGGTCAATGTACCCCTTCCCATCACCCTTAGGAACAAGATTGAGGAATTACAACAGCGGAAGGAAGCCGATCTCAAAGCTCAGGTGGCTAGAAATCAGAAGCTGCAGCAGGAGCTGGAGGCTGCCAATCAGGTGAGGGGCTGGGTTCTGAGGTCACTAGGATAGGGCCAGGGCTGGGAGGTCTAGGGAGCTCTGGGTCTAGGGAGACTAGTTGGGAAGTCTTAAGATTTCTTGTGTTGGAAATATAGGGACTGGATGGGTCCTGGGCCTCCTAAGGGCTAGGAAAATGGGAACTAGGGAGCCCCAAGAGCCCTTGGAGTTGAGCTAGGAGTCCACATGAAGCAGAGATCTCAAAGGATGAATCTGCAACTGGGGGGAAGGAGACAGGAGTCTGGAGAAATCTGTGGTCACTGGGAACTGAGACCAGGAATTAGAGTGAATCTGAACTCCCTGGAGGTTGGATGACTTTGAGATCTATATGGGCTGGGTAGATACAAGACTTTCAAGGATGAGACTGCTGGGCCTGGAGGTTGAGTGCATTTGAGGCCCTCAGAGTATTGGGTCGGAAGCACCTAGGAAGTTGGGTCATGGTCTGGGTGGTCCTGAGACCCTGTGGACTATGAATAGAAAACTAGTGAGGGTGAGACATCTAGGTACTGGAGCAAGTCTAGTTGGGCCTGAGGCTCCTGAGGATTGGGCTTGGGTGACTGTAAAACCTCCAGGCTTCCCCCTAGAGAAGGTGAGTCTGAAGTCCTATGGATTGGGAAATATGGTAGTTTGTAGGTCTAGGGCTGCCAGAAGCTGGGGACAGAAGTCTGGGGAAATCTGGGTCTTCAGTTAGCTAGGTTTGAAGATTCCCGGAGACTGGGGACCAGAGTGGCAGATGGTGGGTGGGATTTTCGATCTGAGACCTCACTAGGAGCTGGAAACTAGAAGACTTTATGAGTGTGAGACCTCTAGAGTCTGGGGTTATGATTTTAGGTAGATCTTAGACTCTTGGGAGCTAGGATATAGGAGGTCAGAGGAGTGAAACAATTTGAGGTTGGGGTCTAGAGTCTGGGTGAAACTATAGTCCTTGAGGGCTGAGTATATCTGAGAATCTGGGGGCCTCCAAACTGGAATCTGGGTGAGTGTGAGACCTTTCACAGAGTGAGTTTGAAATCACCAGGACCCTAGGTGTTTTCTGAGGTGCTTGGAACTGGGATATAGGGGTGTCTGAGGCCTCTGGGTGAACCTGAGATCTCTGGTGGCTGGGTATTTTGAGACCCTTGAGTGCTGGGAACATGCTTTCAGGTGGTCAAAAAGGGAGTCTGTGTACCCCAGTGGAGGCTGAGATCTAGAACGGCCTCCCCTGATCTGGTCCCCACAGAGCTTGGCAGAGCTAAGAGATCAGCGACAGGGGGAACGCCTGGAACACGCAGCAGCTCTGCGAGCTCTCCAAGATCAGGTACATCATACCGGTGGGCTCAGTGAGATGGGGGCAAGGGCGGCGCGGTGCCAGTGGGTATTGTACAGGCAGGCAAGGCCCCAGGGCTTCTGCTTTCTCTGGTTGTGGTTCGTGTGTGTGTGTGTGTGTGTGTGTGTGTGTGTGTGTGTGTGTGTCCGTGTCTTTTCTTGCCTGTCCTCCTATTCTGGACCCTCTCTCACTTGTTGTGGGCGTGGGACCAGGTGTCCATCAAGAGTGCGGATGCAAAGGAACAAGTAAAAAGACTTTTGGATGAGAAAAGGGCCTTGAGGATTAACCTGGCTGCCCTGGAGCAGGTACAGGACAGTTGGGAGTCCCATCCCCTCTGCTTCTGATTCATGGTGGGGCAGTGTAGTCCTGACCTCATGCAGTTCTCCCACCTCTGTTTCTGTTTCATTCTCAGCTTCTTTCTGTTGGCTTCCCACCCTCTTCTCTCTCACCATCTACCCCTACTCCTCTTTGCATTCTAGTTTCTCTCCAGCGCAGTACAAGGCATGACTAGTCTCAAGTGTACTCTCTGAATCATGTCTATCTACCTATCTATCTATCTATCTATCTATCTATCTTTCTATCTATATCTATCATCTCTATCTATCTATCTATCTACCTATCTACCTATCTATCTATCTATCTATCTACTTATCTATCTTCATATAGCCACCACCCAAATCAAGGCACAGAACATTTCTGTTTTTTTCTTTTTTCTTTTTTGGACACAGCATTTCTGCACTCCAGAGATCCCTTCTGCGCTTCCCAATCTATACTTCCTCCAAAATAACCACTCCTCTGACCCCTAGCAACATAGATTAGTTTTCTTTGCCCTTTAACTTTATGTAAATGGAATTATACACCTACTTTTTGTGTCTGGCTTCCATCTTGCAGCATTATATCTGTGAGGTTTAGTCATATGTAGCACTGGTTTGTTCCTTTATCTCTGTGTACTTTCCCATCGTATGAATATACCATGTTTATCCATTTCCCTGCTGATCTTTCTCCCACTGTTTTTCTCTTTGAAATTACTCCTCTCCTGGCTCTCTTTCCTCTCCCTCCCTG